TATAAAAAACAAATAAGAGGTCATCCTCTAAAAATTATATCAAGTATGTCAGCTAACTTAGATTCTATGGTTTATCGACTTTTTTTTCCAAGAAGTAATGCTGGTTGCATAATCAATTGGTGCACAACCCTGAACATGTAACACTGGTTAGAAATCATGTTACATTATCTCAGTTTTACAATTATAGACATTCAGTAAGACAAAACTTTTGTTCAATATTTTATGGGGAAGACAGAGTTTGCTTTTATCAGAAAAAACTAAAACACACTAAGAAGCGAGCTTTTTGGAAATGATCATGTTAGACCAGGGTGTGTTGTAGTTTTGCCATCCACTTATGTAGGAAGTCCTAGAGGTTTAAAAGGAAACTTTTAAGATGCTATGACTATGATTAAAAAGTATGGTAAACCAGATCTTTAATATTACCTTTACCTGCAACTCTAAATGGCGCGAGATTACTAAAATTTATACCCATGACAGACTGCAAATGATAGACCTGACTTAGTTGCTTGATTATTTAAACTCAAACTAAATAATCTCCTAAATTATATTCCAGCATGGTGCGTTAGGTAAATGCTTTCGCTCAAACGAAAGCTTGTTGTCTTCAAAATAATTGTATTGATGCAGAGGTTTTGACACCTGTTTCTAATGTTTTGACACCTATTTCTTACGGGTCTTTGTTTCTCAAATTCAGTATTCTCCATCAGATTATAATTTAACTTTTGTTCTGGAAACTCGTCAGTTTCCTGTCAGATTGACTTATTTAATGAAAATTAATCAAAGTTAAACATTTCATAGAGTTGGTGTGCAGGTATAAAAACTGCGTTTCTATCATGGGCATGTTTGATGTTTTCAATTTTTTTTTAATTAAAATTTCCCACTACTATGGAGTTACGTAAATTTTTTAATACATATTAAATCGTCCCTAAATGGCGGCTGTTATAAGTGATTTTGAAAAGTACGCTCATTACAAAAGTGCTGTCTTCAACCTTAATTGTTTTCTAAGAAAATTGACAAATATTGCGTTTTATTTGTTTTTTGTTATTTTACTAAATATTTAACTATATATCATTTATATATTTGAAATAAATTTGTTCTAAAGGTATTTACATAGATCATCCAGGTCATATTTAAAAAATCCGGAAAATCATTAGGGTAAAATATCCAGTAAAAATCCGAAATATATATTTCCCTTATATTCCTCTTGATTTTGCTTTTAGCTGAGTTGTTTTTAATTTTTTTTTAACTTTTCTTAATTTTTGTACGAGTAATGAGTGAAAAAGCTTAAAAAACAAATATATTACAAAAATATATACCGAAACTTGTATGTATGGAAAGCATTTTTGATATCCAGAAAAACTAAAAATTGAGAAAAATATGCGGAAATCCGGAAATATCCGGAAAAAGATTATCCCTGTATATAAATTTAAAACTTTTATGGATTTGTTGAAAGATTTTTCACAAGTTTAATGATATATTTATTGAAATATATCTGTTTTCTAACCTTTCAGCCCATTACCTATACAAAAATTAAGAAAAAATTTGATTAAACCTAATATTATTAACGCAAAATTACGACGAAGTCAAGACAAAGTATATTTCGGATACATTTTCCGCATAAGTAAAATATGACTCGGATGAATGCTGAAATATGTTGGCATAGGTTAACAGCTCCAAGTTAGGTCGATATATTCGCTTACCGTATATATTTTTTTTCTTTAAGTTCTGCCGCATTATTAGATTAAATAAAGATAAGTAATAGAACAGAAACAAGTTTAAAAGCTTATAGTTAAAACACAAACACACACACACATGGAAAAAAGGCATTGATGTTATAGGCCAAAAGATTTAAGTCAACTTTTGTAAATATCGACGTTGTTATGCTATATGCATAAAATTCTCGATCAACACAAAATCTTAAATCTCTAATGTAGCTAAGATCATTACTTTCTACCATTTTCTGTAACGTTGAAAACGAGTAAAAAATAAGTTAGAGGTGTGAATCTGACCTATCATAACCCGTTTTACGAATCCGGACTTTCTAGACGAAAAAGAAATTGAAACTCATTTTTTATCCATTTTATCAAAAAATATTGTATATTTATCATGGATTCTAGGAATAAGCTCGAAGTTAAGAAAAGTTATCAAAAAAGCAAGTTATACACCAATTTTTTAAATCAACAAAAAAATTTACAACATATACCTACCAAAAAAAATAAATCTTCACTTCCTATAAATTCTTATCCAGGTGTGTACACTAAATTGAATGCTCCTGCAAAAAATGTTATATCGGTAAAACAAAATTAAAAATCTTATCTTGTATTTACCAACATGAAAAAAAATAAATAGAAAGGAAAATGGGAAAAATTAACAATAGCGAAACGTTCAAAGAAATTTCATAGTAATTTTGCATGGAACAATAATACTCTAGACGTAGAGCTCAATAGTTTTAACAGAAAAGTGAGAGAGGCTCTTGAAATACAACGTCAAGAATGTGCAATTTCAGACGACGGTCTGAATCAGGATGACGAAGGCTACGTTACAACTTCCTTTTTAAAACCAATGTTTCGATTTTTGAATCAAAAGAAACTATTGCATTGATTTGTTTTTAACGGTTTTTTATATTTATACTATACTTGATAACGAGGGTATCTATACTGGTTTGAAATATTGTAGTATAATTAATTTAATAATAAAGATTTACATCAATAGAAGAAGTTTTTATATAATTATAACTTAAACTCTATAAGTATGATTATTTATATTTATTATTTAGTAGGTTTTTTTACATTTTTATTTCATATTTTTGACAACTTCTTATGAACAAAAAAATTGGTTTTAGAAAAAAAGATTTTAATGTTTATAGTACCACGGTGGAATAAAATTAACTTAAAACATACTTTAACACTTTATCTAAGACTTAGTAAAAAGATTTCCTGCCCCTTCTCCTAATTAAACTTTTTTTATTTTTTTTTTTACTATGATATCTATCTAATAATTACTCTCGTGTGCTTTATACACGAGAGGCGACGTTTATTAATTTTCGAAAAATTTTAACAACCACCCTAACTTTGTTGAGCACCCCCTCCCCCCACCTTGAATAAAAAAAGCAATAGCATTTTTGGAGTAATTGCTCAGCTTTACGAGAATTTAAATTTGAGCAATTTTGCTCAAATTTTTATTTTCGTAAATCTGAGCAACTGGTGTTTTAGGTGAAAATTACTTACGTTTACGTGGATAAAAATTTGAGCGATTTTACTCAAACTTTTATTCACGTAAAGCTGAGCAATTACTTCAAAAACGCTGTGTAAAAGCACCTGCTTTTTTTTATTCACCCCGCCTTTTTTTTTTATTCACCCGGCCTATCTCAAAACTAAAAAAAAATCATAGTAAACCGGCCTTAAAAATATCTTTAATCTAGTTGTCGAAAATTAGTTTTTTGTTTATTTCCCACTATAGAATAAAACTTAAAAAAGCATATTAAATTTTAATAAAATTATGATTTCACAGATGTTAAATCATAATTTTATTAAAATTTAATATGTTAAATTTCAATAAAATTATCAGTTAAAAAATGCGCATTTGATCGCAAACCACACTAGAATTAAATTGTTTTAAGCGTGTTCGGTAAAAAAACTCCCACCGATCTATTTAGACCTCCCATTTTTATTAGATCTGGACTACAAATCCCACCCTCCCTTTTATTCCTACCGCCCAGCTACGTTGATAACTTTTTTTATTTTATAAAATATTTTTAAATGACATTTTAGAAACCTTTCAGCCAAATCTTATAAGATACAGACTTTTTTAGGTTTACATAACATGTTTTCAAGAGCAAAAATTACACATTTTATGTTCACATAACATAGCTTCAACCTTTCTCAAGTGTTTCCAAGTACCCAAAATACATTTTGTCGTACTCATTGTTTTTAAAAAAAGAGTTATATATGCAAATTATATCTATGTTATGAAATTAGTATAGAAGAAATTTTAAACATATATATATATATATATATATATATATATATATATATATATATATATATATATATATATATATATATATATATATATATATATATATATATATAATAATATGTATAATATACATAAAACTATACTACAATATATTTTTTCCTATATTAATATACAAAAAAATAAATAAATACAAATAAAGGTTTCGTTAAAAATACGAGAGCAGTAATACCCTTCTAAACTTTAACCGCGTTTTACCAACGATACGTAAATTGATCTTAAACAAACCAATTCTCAGGTGACAATTTGACAGGTACACCTTCTTTCACATTTTTTATTAAAAAAGTGTTGCAACTTTCTCGCCATTAACTTGGCTTTAATGGCTTTCACGAGTTCTCTGCAAACACGCGCGAATGAGTAACGGCAGCAGCATTAAGTTCGGTGATATTATAGGAAAAGGAAAAAGTATATAAGAATAGAAAGGATAGGATAGGATTATAGGACGCGGATAGGGATAGGATTATAGAACACGGATATATAATAAAGAACGCGGAACAACATCCTTTAAAATACGATTAGTGTTATTTTAATAGCCAGTAATTTCAATAATGTCAGTTTTGACAATTGCATTAAAATATAAACATTTTATATTTTAAAAAATGTTCATTAACAATCGTTAGAAGTCGTTGTTTAAAAGGAATATTAAAATAATATTATCAATATTAAATTTATTATCTAAATATTATATTTAAAAAAGCGCCGAAACTGTTAGGTTAATTCCACAAAGATTTAACTTACGTTACACAAATTCAAAACTAAATTGTGCCTAAACTAAGCATCTTTATTCTAAACTTTTAATATAAAAACATAAGATTTAATATCCAATTTTGAAAAAACATAACTTTATCGTGTATTTTTACTTACTACTTATTATAACTTACGTTACATGAAAATTGCAAAAGTTCTTTCGTTAATTTCTTGAAATTTTCTTTATAAAAAAAGTAAAATATTTGTCCAACTTTAAATTGAAGATTTTAGATCCATTTCTAGAGTAAAATAAATCAGATTATGCAATTAAATTCATTGTGAAAATAATTTTTTTAAATGATGCGTTTTTTATTATACGACATAAGAAAGTACGATGACTATCGGAACCATCAAAACAACTGAAATAAATATTTTTTCAACAACAACTTTAAGTAAAATGATTAAAAATAACCCAACGAGCATATAAGGTAATTTCAACGTTGTAATTAGGATAACATATGGTTGAAGAATAACGATCTAAAAATCAACATTATTTCCACTTAAGTGCAACGTTTAAAATGAACGTTAGAAACTTCAACTTTTTTTCAACGTTTATTTTTAAATTTTTTTAAACGTTGAGAAGAATTGAAATTTGCCGACGCAAATACATTAATAATACAAGCATGGCAGTATCGGTTCTGATCGAGGAAATTTACGCTTGTATAAGACGCGATGAAACCAGTCGCCAACTTGGTTGACCTAAACCATTTTTACGTTTTGCACGGTGCGATTTATTAGAAAAATTTGCTGAAACCAAATTAAAAAATTGCAAGAAATGGTTGAATAATTCGCCAGTTATATTTTCCATGTTATATTATGCTGCAAAGTATTGTTTACTAGCTGTTTATTTCAAAATATACTGAATTAGACATTCAGATAGTGATATTTCAACACAAAATTGAAAGATACTATATACTATATTTTACATATTAAAACATACTATATTTTACACAGTGAGAATGTTTTTGTCAAAATAAAAACAAATATTTGTGAGTGTTTTTTTCAATAAGTCTAAACATAAATAAAAACCATGTTTGTTATTTTTCTTTCGTATATATTATGTCCATTAAGCATTTTAAATATACAATATTTTATGTCTAAATATTTTTTTTATATGTTTTTTATGTATATATAAAGATATATATTTTTTAGTATATTTTTTACGTGTGTGTATATATATATATATATATATATATATATATATATATATATATATATATATATATATATATATATATATATATATATATATATATATATATATATATATATATATATATATATATATACTTATTTTCAAAAATTAAAAATGAATTACAAAAACATACTTAAACTTATCTAAAAAAAAACCTTTAAAAGTACTTAACATTGCTATGTTTCCATTCAACATAGCCAATAATTTCCTACTTCTTTTTTAAAGTTAAATTTTATAATAAAACAAGGTAAAATGAAATAGCGGGTAGAATGAAATAGTTATGACAATGTTTATTCTTTCGATCTTAACTATTGAATAATTTTTTTGCAAATATTTTTTGATTATATTGTAGAGAATATTTTTCTGAGTAAGATTGTATACAATTATTTTTAATTAAAAAAATGTTATTATAAATTCATAAGTTTTTGAATGAGTAATAAGATTTTTTTTTATTTGAAAAAGGAACTTAAAACTCTTGGAAATTAAATTCGGTATCATTGAACTTAAAATGTTTACTGATACAACTTTTTACGCTGATCAAGAATCTTTTTTCAAACTTAAATTTGCTGCTTAGGAAAAAAAGTTGAGTTAAAAACGAAAACGGAGTGTTGTAGGGTTGAACGAAATACGCTAATAAATAAATAAATACGAAGCAATAGCTTATTTCTTAAAAAGCGGCTTTTTTTATTAGGTCTCAAGTGACCAATAAATCTCCAGTATAAAATTTTTGTATAAATTTCAATGAATGAATTTTTCTAACTAAATTTAAATGACTTTTAATTACTGCTTTTATAAAATGGTTCTAATAAATGAATGAAATAGGCTAGCCACTCTCTTGTTAATTGAGATCACCTTGTCTGCAAACAACCTTCAATATTGTAGTAACTCCGGCTATTCAAAAGGAAATTCATAAGAGGTTGCAAAACAACTGCAATCAGCCCAATCACTTGCAGCATCTTTTGCAACGAATGTTTTGTATCCAACATGTTGACACAAAAAAAAAAAGAAAAAATGTAGGTGTGCCAAGATTCGAAGGGGAGTGTCTCAACAAACCTGAAATACTTGAAAGGTAAAAGATGCAGAGAGCAAAAAAGCAGCAAAGCAAGCTAAAAAACAACATAAGTTTAGCTCTAATCCGACGAAAATATTAGCTGCAAACCAATTCAAGTGTAGAAAGTGCCGAAAAGTTTTGGGCAAAACTTCAGCAAGTCAAAATATGGAATGGTACCAGTGTGAAAATTTAAATTGCAAGGTTTGGCTATGTCAAACATGCATATCAAAGCGACACATAAAAGGCGCTGAGTTTTACAAAAAGTGCCACACAAGTGAAAACTCAACCTCTAAACGGTTCAACATCATCACAAGAATAAAAAAGTTTATTTTATTTTATTGATTTTTTAAATTGTTATTATTGATTGCTTTTTTAACTGTTATTATTGATTGCTTTTTGTTTTTTTAATTTAGTGTTGTTTTAATTACACTTATATTTGCGTATTTCAGTGTATGTCAGTGTAGAATGGAATAAATTTTTTTTTAATCAAATAAAGTTTCATAAAAACCTTTACAAAAATTTTGTTACATTTTTATATATTTAAATACAGCTCAATACTCTCTACAACTTAAAAAAAAAAAAACAGAAAAAGTCTTTTTTCCGTAAAAAATTAATAATTAAAATCCTTAACTATTCCATTTGACCCCATTTTACTCTATATTACACTTTATGGATAAAGTTTACATTATATTTAACTATAATGTAAATCAAAACAACCATAAAGTTAGGTTACTAAACTTTACTAATAAATATATTTAATATTGTCAAAGACATTTATCTGCAAAAGTTAGCCATTGTTTTTATTTATATCTTTTATGTTATAAATACATAAAAAGATTTTAACTAAAAATTATTTTAACAAGAAATTCCAAAAAGAATATGAAAAACGCTATTACAATTTTTTTGTGTTTTCATTTTATTTTTCATTATATTCTTGTCTGAAATTTACGCTTATTTGAATATACTTATGTTGACACTTTTCCTGTTTCTATATTTTATGGAAAACAATTGAACGAAAAAATTGAATGAAAATATCAACTTAAAAACTAATTGAATGAAAAAAATCAAACATATTTAAATTTTTAAAAGTACACTAGATCGAAAAGCAATAAATCTGATCTAATACGTCTTGTACTTTTTTAAGTTCACTCATTATTTTTTTTTATTGATCTTACCCTTTTGTTCTATAGATTGTGCGAAAATATAAAATTTGATGTTTTATGACGAGTGTTATTCTACTGTAATATTTGCGTTTTTATTTTTACTTTTCTAAATATCACGTTAAGTAAAGGGATATCACGTGGCGTAGAAATAGGGGGCTGAGGCAGTCAGAATCAGAATTAAAATAAAATAAAAAACAGAAATTTTCCAATTAATTTTCCAAATTATTTAATTTTCCAAATTAATTTACCAATCATTGGTAAATAAATATCTTAAGAAATAAAATATCAAGATTAGATGTTCACAGACAGAGACGAGTTAAAAAAGCATTGAATGCTTTTATTAACTCCTCGTCTGTCTGTGAACATCTAATCTTGCAATCAATGTTTGAGTCACTTCATGATGATAGATCTTCTTAAAATTTTGTATGCATACTCTTGCTTAATGACTAGTGATCAACCGAAATAGAAAAAAAAAGCCGAAACCGAAATAAACCGAAATTTCGGGTACTCAAATTTGGTGACGAAACCGAAACTGAAATTTCAGCTAGTCAAAATTTATTTTATTAGAAAAATTTATTTTAAAATGCAATTTTACATTAGTTGTTTTTTTATAATCGTATTATGTTAAAATGGTGAAGCGGAATAGTGTCACAAAATTTTGATTGTTTCGCAAATTTTATTGTCGAAAATGTAAAAAAGGAATAGTATCGCAAATTGTCACATTATTGATTTTTGAATAATAGAATAAGGAATAATGTCGCAAATGAATTTAATGAATAGTGTCGATAACAAAAAAAAGGAATAGTGTCGCAAATTAAATTTAATGAATAGTGACAAAAATAGTAAAAAGAAATAATGTCCTGAAGGAGTTGAATGAATAGTACCAAAAATAAAAAAATAATAGTAAATATAAATCTGTATTTAGATAACATGTCTGATGTCATACTCAAATAGACTTCTGCAAGGGCTTCAGTACATACTTTTACTATCAAATAGCCTGACCCATAAGGGAGTGCCGACATGGGGCAGCAATCTTTTCTTTTATTATTATTTTTTTTTTCTTTCTGTAAATGTCGTATGCTGTAAAGATAAGCAAAACGAGTAAGCAATTGCTGAAATTAACTGTTTGGGACACTATTCCGTTTATACTATTTGCGACACTATTCCTTTTTGTTATGTTTTCGACACTATTCATTAAATTAATTTGCGACAATATTCCTTTTTTTTTTTGCGACAGGCCTTTTTAGTATATTCAACACTATTCTGAATTTCATTTTTCCGCACTATTCCTGTCACCCATTTTAACCACTGATCAGTCATGCCGAAAACCGAAACACTTCAAAAGAGGAACTAAGGAATTATCAAAAGCAGCAGTATCACCTTACCAGATCAAAATTATTACTAAAAAAAACAACAACTTAAACGGTGGAGCCAGAGAACCCTCACGGTGAACTACAGAATCACGATAAAGTTGACATATGCAGTCAAAAAATAGACAATACAGAAAAACAGGAGTCCGATGCAAAAGATGGTGAAATTTTAGCAGAAAATCTTGTTAGAAAGGCGGATAATTTCAGTGAAATTCATAAAAATAAAAAAAACTGTGACAGAAATGGAAGAACTTGTATTTAAGGCTTGGTTTAATGAATTTAGTTGGTTATTTTATGATCGATCACTGAAAGCTGTCTTTTGTGAAACCTGTACAAAATATGATTCATGTTCTGGTGGAGTGTTCAAGCATGGAGTCGGGAAAGAATTTAGAACATGGAGCAAATCTACAGCAGCACTAAAAGATCACGAGGACCCCAGTGTTCATAAGCCTTCAAGTGCTTTAAAGATTGAAAAAGAAAATAAAAAGTTTACAACAATTAATACTCAAATTGACTTAATATACATGGAGAAAGAAGCAGTTCGAAGAAAAAGCTTGCTAGCTCATTTCAGAACATTCAAAACATTGCATAGACAGGTTGTACCTATAGGAGGTGAAAATGATGAAGAATGAATTCTTCATCATTTTCATTTACCAGTTTAATTTGGATAAGAGTAAAAGTGACACAGAATTGAAATGTTGATGAATAAAAACCATTATGTTTTATCTCATATTACTAAGAAGGAACAAATGTCGTTTAACATAAGAACTTGCAGTGACAACTATGAAGTGAATAAAGATTTTATCAGAGTATATGAATGCATCAATAGCCTTTCTCCAGATGCCTTGGTGACATTGAAGATATCCTTTCAAGGTGCAACTTGGAATATACAAAAGTTGCCAGAATTGGCTTTGATGAAGCATCAGTTATGACAAGCACAGTATTTTCATTGCATGGCACATTGCAGCGAGCTGATTGTTAAAGATACATATTCTCAGAATGTCAGATTCTCTCAGCATTGTCCAGTCAATTTAAGCAATTGTTGGGGCATATCCAAAACGTGTTGCCTTTTTTTAACAAATCCAAAAGTATATATTGCATATTGAGTATGAATTAGATGAGTATGAATTATATATTGCATATTGAGTATGAATTAGATGAATACAGAATATTGAAACTGAAGTCTATGTCAATGACTCGATGGACAACA